ACCAGTTGCTGGAGATAGAATTATCTTATTAGGAGGAGCAACAGGTCGTGATGGAGTAGGAGGAGCTTCGGGATCATCTAAAACACATGATGGTTTAAAATTAGATGATTTATCTGCTGAGGTACAAAAAGGAAATGCAATTGTAGAAAGAAAAATACAACGTTTATTCCGTAATCCAAATGTATTAACATTAATCAAGAAATGTAATGATTTTGGTGCTGGAGGTGTTTCAGTTGCTATTGGAGAAATTGCAAGAGGAATTAATGTTGATTTAGATAAAGTTCCTTTGAAATATGCAGGCTTAAATGGTACTGAATTAGCTATTTCAGAATCTCAAGAACGTATGGCTGTTGCAGTAGAGGCAAGAGATGTTGATACATTTATAGCTTTAGCTAAAGAAGAAAATTTAGAAGCAACTTGTGTTGCTGAGGTTACTGCTGACGACACAATGACTTTAGTTTGGAAAGGAACTAAAATTGTTGAATTAGATCGTAAATTTTTAGATACAAATGGAGTTCGTAAACAAGCAAAAATTGAGGTTACGGACGAAAATTATACAAATCCTTTTGAAAATAAATCATTCGATAGAAATGAATTTATTGCAATGATGCAAGAATTAAATCATGCATCTCAAAAAGGTATGGTAGAGATGTTTGATAATAATGTTGGACGTTCTACTATTTTAAATGCTTTTGGAGGAAAAACGTGGTTAACTCCAAAGTGTTTCTGTACGAAATTTCTAAGATGGTTTCCAATGTGTATCATCGCTCATTTGGATATAATCTTAATTTCTCGTTGGTTAACTATACGGAGGTTTGCGGTGTAATTCTATGACGAAATTGTTGCTGCTGGAGGTAATTATGCTGATATTCGTTTGACTTTTCAAGAATATTTTGAAAAATTAAGAAACGAAGAAATTCGTTGGGGAAAACCTTTTGCTGCGATTTTAGGTACAATTGAAGCGCAACGTCAGTTTGGAATTCCTGCTATTGGAGGAAAAGATTCTATGTCAGGTTCATACCAAGATATAGATGTTCCACCAACATTAATTTCATTTGCTATTGCACCTTCTCAAACTAACAAAGTTGTTCAAGGTACATTGGTTAATAAAAATTCTAAATTATCAGTTTTTATTCCAACTCAGCATGAAGATTATTTGATTGATGAAAATAATACGAAATCAATTTTTGATTTTATAACTTCTATCGATAGAAATAATGTAAAATCAATGATGACAGTTAAATTTGGAGGAATTGCAGAGACTTTAGCTAATATGGCTTTTGGTAATGAAATTGGTTTTGCAATAAATACTCAATTAGATTTGGCAAAATATTTCCAGGAGCTCTTATCATTGACTACGTGAATTAGTTCAACAGATATTTTACAAAATTATCTTCTTAGAATACTACAGAAAAGAATTTTTGATTGCGGAGGATTATTTGAAGAATTAAACATCTTTGGAAAGAACTTTATTATTTCTATATCTTCCGACAATTTATCGAAGTAAAGATGAAAGCTGAAGTTTTTTTCCTTTTCTGAAATAAAGTTGCAAATCCTAAAGTGTTTTATTCCAATTTTCTGGAACAATTCTGATATTGATTGCAAGTTGTATAAAGAGGCATTGTTACAAATTTACCATTTAGAAATTTATCAGAACAAGATGTTGAAGAATCTGTAAATGCTTTTGTAACTGAAACAAATAAAGCAAATATTTTATTTATTCCTGGAGGTTTTTCTGCTGCTGATGAACCTGATGGATCTGGTAAATTTATAGCAACAGTTTTACGTAATGAAAAAATTAAAACTGCAATCCATCAATTGTTAGAAAGAAATGGATTAATTTTAGGAGTATGTAATGGTTTTCAAGCATTAATAAAATCAGGTTTATTGCCTTATGGTAGAATTCAGGATTTAGAAGAAAATACACCAACATTAACATTTAATGAAATTGGTCGTCATATTACACAATTAGCTAAAGTTCGTGTAAATAAATCTCACTCACCTTGGTTAAACGGAATGGAAGGTCAAGAGTATTGGATTCCTTTTTCTCATGGTGAAGGACGTTTCGTAGCAAATGACCAAGAATTAGAGAAATTAATAGATAAAGGTCAAATTGCAACACAATTTATTGATTTAGAAGGGAAATTAGCTGGACAAATGCCATATAATCCTAATGGATCTACTTTTGCTGTAGAAGGAATTGTTTCTCCTTGTGGGAAAATTTATGGTAGAATGGGACATCCAGAAAGATATGAAGAAGGATTATTCAAAAATATTCCAGATAATGGATATATGAATATCTTTAAAAATGCTGTAGAGTATTTTAAGAATTAAACAAACAACAAACAATAATAATTTTGATCCTGAACCAATCAAAATTAGAACTCGACAAATAACCTTGAACAAGTTATTTATCGCAAACAGGCAAACAAGAAGTGGACTTTTTCATTTCAAACAAAACAAAAAAACAAAAAGTTAACAACAGACAACGATGAGCTTAACAAAAAAAGACTTCATTTACGAAGGAAAAGCAAAACAAGTGTACGCTACAGAAGAAGCAGACAAAGTAATTGTTTATTACAAAGATGATGCAACTGCTTTTAATGCACAAAAGCGTGGAACGGTTGAGGACAAAGGAGAAATGAATAACAAAATTTCTACTTTAATTTTTGATTATTTAATCGAAAAAGGTATTCCAACACATTTCATCGAGCAGTTAAATGATCGTGAACAATTAGTGAAAAAAGTTTCAATTATTCCAATTGAAATGGTTGTTCGTAATTATGTAGCAGGAAGTATGGCGCAACGTTTAGGATTAGAGGAAGGAGGTAAATCTCCTGTTACAATCTTCGATATTTGTTACAAAAAAGATGAATTAGGTGATCCACTTATCAATGATCATCATGCAGTTTTATTAGGAGCTGCAACGTATGATGAATTAAAAGAATTATATGCAATTACTGATAAAATTAATGAAGCTTTAAAAGAATTATTTTTAAAAGCTGGATTGATTTTAGCTGATTTCAAAATAGAATTTGGAAAAGATGTTGATGGTAATATAATTTTAGCTGATGAAATTTCTCCAGATACATGTCGTTTATGGGATGTAGAAACAGGGAAAAAATTAGATAAAGATCGTTTTCGTCGTGATTTAGGTGATGTTTCAGAAGCTTATCACGAAGTATATAATCGTTTAGTAGAAGTTTTAAAATAATCATTTTTTCATTTGAAATGATTGATAAAAAATTACATAAAAGTCAGCTAAAGGCTGAATATCTAACAAATTTCTACGAAAGAAATTTGTTAAAAATGCAGCCGATACTGGTGCAGTTTAATGAAGAATGTGGTGTTTTTGGTGTTTATTCACCAAATAAAATAAATACATATTCTATAACACAATTTGGTTTATTTGCACTTCAACATCGTGGTCAAGAGGCTTGTGGAGTTTCTTTTTTGAAAGATGGAAATATTAAAACAGTAAAAAAAGCTGGTTTAGTATTAGATGTTTTTAAAACTATGGAATCTGATATTGAAGAATATCAAGGGAATGCTGCTATTGGTCATACTCGTTATACAACGGCAGGTGACGGACATAGAAGAAATATACAGCCACTTTATACATATAATATCTATGGTAAACCTCATTTTTCTATTGCTCACAATGGAAATCTGATTGAAGTCGAAGGTTTAAGAAAGGAGTTAGAAGCCGAAGGTTTACCATTCTTAGCAACATCAGACACTGAAGTTCTTTTTAAGTTTCTAATTCAAAAAAATATCTCATTGGATAGGTGAAGCGAATACAAAAAGGAACAGAAAATAAAAAGGTGCATTCTTGTGTTGTTATTGGCAAACAATCAATTAGCTGCATTTCGTGACCAAACGAATTCGACCAATGTAATGGGAAGCTGGATGATGCTTATGTATTCGTGCAAGACTTTGTGGCTTTAGATGCTGTTGGGCTGAATTTATTCGAGATGTAGAAACCAGGAGAATTAATTGTTGTTGATGAAAATGGTTTAAAAATATATTCTTTAAATCAACCTTCAAGAAAAAATATTTGTGCGTTCGAATATATTTATTTTGCTCGTCCAGATTCTAATATTGAAGGAAATGAAATTTATGATTTAAGGGTTGAATCAGGAAGAAAATTATACGAACAGTCTCCTGTTGATGCTGATATTGTTATTGGTGTTCCCGATTCTGGTATTCCATCAGCAATCGGTTATTCAGAAGCTTCAGGTATTCCTTATGAACCAATTTTGATAAAAAATAGATATATGTCTCGCTCTTTCATTGTTCCATCACAGGAAATGAGAGAAAGAGTAGTAAATCTTAAATTGAATCCAATCAAAAATAAAATCAAAGGAAAGCGTTTGGTTGTTTTAGATGATTCAATTGTTCGAGGTACAACTTCAAAATTATTAATAAAAATTTTGAAAGAAGCAGGAGCAAAAGAGATACATTTCCGATCAGCTTCACCTCCAATTATAGCTCCATGCTACTTAGGAATTGATATGCCATCAAAAGCAGATTTAATTTCTGGGAATAAATCAATTAAAGAAGTTGAAAAATATCTTAATGTAGATTCATTAGATTTTTTAACTGTAAAATAATTTAATGATTATTAAGGTAGTGATGAAATGTTTGGATGTTTACAGAAAAATATCTCTGTTAATTAGTAATCCAAACAAGAAGAACAACGTCGTTGTTAAAACTTTAAACAAATTCTATTTATGAATTCGAAAAAATAAAATCAATAATAAAATAAGTAATACATATAAACAAGCCGGAGTAGATAAAGAAAAAGGTTAATCAAACGGACAAAAATTAAAGAAGCTGTTGCAGCAAACACCATAAGAAGAACGTGTTAAATGGAATCGGAGTTGGAGCTTTACCAATTAAGGAGTTATAAACCCGTATGGTTTCTGGAAACTGGAATGGGGTTTTGGTAACAAAATTACGTGCGCTTTAGATTCGAAAATTTGAATACATTGAAATCGATTGTTTTGCGATGTGTGCAAATGATATTCTTTGTCATGGTGCAAAACCTTTATTTTTCTTAGATTATTTAGCTTGTGGAAAATTAGATTCTGATGTTGCGGCAGAAATTGTTTCTGGAATTGCAAAAGCATGTAAAGAAACAGGAACAGCTCTTATCGGAGGAGAAACAGCAGAAATGCCAGGAATGTATAAAGTTGGTGATTATGATGTTGCAGGTTTTTGTGTTGGAGTTGTAGAACGTGATGAAATAATTGATGGCTCTAAAATAAAAGCAGGACAAGCAATTGTAGCTTTACCAGCGAGTGGCTTTCATTCTAATGGTTTCTCATTAATTCGTAAAATATTTCCAGATTTTAATGAGGAATTTGAAGGAAAACCTTTATATGAAACATTGTTAGTTCCTACAAAATTATACCAGAATGATATTTTTGCAATTAAAGATGTAGGAATAGAAATGTCAGGAATTGCTCATATTACTGGAGGAGGTTTATATGAAAATGTACCTCGTATTATTAATAATGGTTTATCTGCTGTAATAGAGAAATCAAAAATTAATGTTCCTACTGTAATGCAAGAATTAGCAAAGCGAGGAAATATAGCAGAAGAAGAAATGTTCGGTACATTTAATATGGGAGTTGGAATGATTGTTATTGTTAATCAAGAAGATGCTCAAAAAGTAGTAGATATTGTAAAAGGAAGTGCTATAGTTGGAGAAATTCAAGAAGGAGATAATAAAATTATTCTGAAATAGAATCATTTCAATAAAATATAAAATCGGATAAGTTTACTTATCCGATTTTTTATGCATTATTCTTTAAATAAATCTTTAATTTAGAAAAAAAATATAGAATATTTTTTTAATGGATAATCAATCTAGGACTAATATGAGTATATTATGTTTATACCTCAATAAGCTTGTAAGAGCTCCGAAAATAAAATCAGAAAAAACATAATCAAAGGATGAATTAATGTTAATTTGTTTCTAGATTAAACGTTATTCTATCCAATATTTTTTATCCTGTAGGAATTATTATATCACTTTTTTAATATATATAGAATGGTATTTTACAATCTATCTTCTAGTTCTTCTTTTTTTATTATTCATTAATGAGATTTTTTGAAAATAAACTTATTTCAAAAACTTTAGATTAAAATAATACTTATTTTAAAGTATTATTTTCATTTCAACTTATTCTATTTACCTACATATATATTCTGTTTACCTCTAAAATTTAATCATTCAATTTCTTAACAATATTTTTGATTTATAGAAATGAGGATATGATAAGATTATGTAAAGCTGAAAATAGAAATTTATTTGAAAATAATTTCTTACGTATAAATGCATTAAAAAAAACGAAAATGTTTCTGATCTTTGCTTTATGATGAATAGCCTTAATGAACATGGTATTTATCAAAAAGTAATAAATAGATAGGGTTTACTATTTTATTGCCTTTTTTAATGGTATTCGTCTTAATATGAATGGATTTAATTGGACTATAAAGACAAATCAAGTTTTTGTATACTATTTAGAAAAAGGATCTATCATAGAAATCTTAGGAGAATTAAAAGATGAATACTCATACTTGTATTCTTTGTTTTTAATCAAACCAAAAGAAAAAATTAGTAATAGTATAGCTCCAATTGAATTAGAAAGAAATAATCATTTAAATAAAATAGTTAGACATAGTTTATTCAATGTTTTTCTTGGAAAATTTGAAGATAGAAAAGAATCCGAATTACCATTAAAAAAAGTAGAAAGAAGCTGGTTAGTTATTTCATTGACAGGAATATTTGAAGTACATGATCGACTTATAGAATCTAGAGATTTACTTTCTATAGGTCCTGATGAACATGTAGATTTTGAATCCTTAAGTGAAGATTCATTATTAATGGTAATTGATTATTAATTAAAAATATAAAAAAGTATAAAAATGGATAGAAAAGAATTTTTAAAAAATAGTCTAGGTTTCTTAGGAACAGCACTTATTTTACCAAAAGTAACTATGTCTTGTAAAAGTGATGATAATTCATCAGTAACATCAGATTCAACAACTACAGAAGGAGGAACAAATGAATCTTGTACAGTATGGCCAACAGAAACAGAAGGTCCATTTCCTACAAAAACACCATCTAGTTACGTACGTACAGATATTGTTGGGGATAGAACAGGTATAGATGCTACTATTGAGATTATAAATCAGGATGTTAATAATAGTTGTGCTCCAGTAGAAGGTATTATCGTGATACTGGCATGTGATAAAGATGGAGAAATATATTCTCAATATGGAGGACACACAAATGCACAAAACGAATTATCAATCCTATAATTTTTAAGAGGAAGACAATAGTAACAGACTCTAATGGTAAAGTGAAATTCACTTCTATTTTTCCTGGTTGGTATATGAGTCGAGCAACACATATACATGTACATGTATATGATAAAAGTGGTACATCTGTAAAAGTAACACAAATAGCATTTCCAGAAAGTAGTGCTAGTGCTGTTGTAGTTGTAAATTCTGCAACTTCTTATGGATATACAAAAGGAATGTCTGGTTATACTTATAATGCGCAAGATAATGTCTTTTCTG